CCAGGCTACTACTTGGAGGCAAGGATTCTGGGGCTTCACCTGATATACTTTGGACATGTTGTAAGGAGAGACAGGTCCTTGGAGAGGGACATCATGCTTGGTAGGGTAGAGGGACAGCACAGGAGGGGAAGACCCTCTGTGAGGTGGATTGATTCAGTGACTGGGGTACTCGGGATGGGTGTGTCAGAGGTAATGCGATTGGCACAGGATAGAGCAGGGTTTAGGGCTGTTGTACATAGGGTCGCTTTGAGTCGCAAATGACTTGACAGCACATAACAACAACAACAAGAATGTTGAAGATAGGATTTAAGCTGACACAAAGTCATTTCTACTCACACTGTCTAAAAACCTTTATTTTCTTAAAAGAAGAACCCAACCAAAACCCCACTGGTGGGTCAACTATGGGTTGGTTCCAACTCTATGGTATACAACAACAACTATCAATTAATTGTTATTAATGTTATAATACAAAATGAATATGAATGAGTGGAAAAAAACCAATATCATTTGTAAGCTTGCACTTAAAAAAAATTAAAAATTTATATCAATTTTTAATTTATACTCTTTTAATGCTGGTCATTAACATAAATACATACATGGATACATAAACAAGCTATAAACATATAATAAACATAGTATTGCTGTTTGTCCTCACATATCATGTTCCCAAAGTGTCAGGGATCCAAGCTGTGTGTGTAGAAAACTCATATCTATTTTCCTTCCTGTGGCATCTGATTGCCAAGATGGCAACTTGACCAGCAACTGTGGGGCACTGTAATTCTCACAGTGGTCTTGTCTGCATCACCTGGGTTAGTGGCCTGGTTCTTGATGTGAAACCTTTGGGAACTGCTGCCCCTATGTCATGAGACATTTAAAAAAGTCCTCCTGTCCTTTCATTAACTTAGGGATATTTGCTGTAACTTTGGTCGGAGATCATTTTCCCAGGCCCCACTGGCAATTGGAACACAATTAGAGCTATAATCCTTCCTTTCTCCCCTCTGTTTACTTTTTCATTTGTCACATTTACGGATGCATATTGAGAAGAACTTTGAATGGATTTGGGTAGATTTAGCACTGATTTGGAGACAGGTCCAGTGTTCAATCAGGGCTAATTGAAGAACCTCCAAGGAAAGAAAGCCTCTCCTGCTCCCAAGAAAATATCAAATGCCATTTCCTACTGCCCTTCTCATTGTTTCTTTATGGGATACAGATTCTTATGGTGATCTTCAAGGGTTGACCTGGAGTTAAAAATTCGACAGCTTCCTTATACAAATCTTTGAGAAAATAATTGTCTTTGGAACCCTTACATATATTGTTGGTAAGAATGCAAAAGTGGTACCGCTGCTGTGGACAGCAGTATGACTATGATAGTTCCAAAAACCTCCAAAATAGAATTGCTACAATGTTGTTGTTAGATACCATCTAATTGACAACAACTGATAGAAACAGATCTGAATTTTCCCTTATCCTGCATCATCTTCATGAAAATTACCATTGTTGTTGTTGTTAGGTGCCATCAAGTCAAGTGCAACTCTTAACCACCCTATGAACAAAAGATCTGTACCCAGTCCTGTCCTGTACCATCCCTCACACTTCCTGACACACAAGAGCCCATTGCAACAGTCACCTGGTTAACCCACCTGGCTGAGAGATAGGATCCAGCATTTCCTCCCCTAGGTCTAAGCTTCATAGACTTGAAAGCAGACACTCGGAGACTTGTAGACCAATGATCATTGCAGCACTTTTCATAATAGTCAAAGGTAGGTACAGCCTGAATACTCAGTCATTGAGTGGATAAACAAATTGTGGTTCATACCTACCGAGAAATACTACTCAGCCAGCAGAATGAAGTCTGGATGCAAGCGACAACACAGATGGTGTTGGAAGACAGTATGCTGAGTGATAAGTGTTAGTCACCAAAGAATGACTATCGAATGACATTATTTACATGAAAA